GTCTCTTAGAGCACTGTTAGAAGTGCTGAGGTTGCAGGAAGCCAGGGACATGAAGGACAACTTGCTTTTGAATAGGAAGATCTACGAAAAACAAGATGAATTGGCTACAAGGCAGTCGGAATTACTGAAAATTGCAGGGGAGATACTGAGAGCGCAGCAGGAAGCAAAGGGTGTGCAAGAGCTTTCAGGGAGTAGTACACAAACAGTGGTGGTGCAGGAGCAAATTGGAGGCATTGGTGTGCAGCAAGCAACATCAATAAACGGAGGAGGGGCTGCTCTAGCAGCAGTGTTTGAGATACTATTTAGTGCCGTTCTACAAACGAAGGAGAGGACGAGGATGTTTAAACGCATCCTGGGACATCTCGAGTCCACGCTAGACTCCATAAAGCCATTGATACAAGAGATTGCAGAATATAACAAGGTATTGCATCTTACAGAGGAAGAACTAGAAAGTTATGGAGAAGGGTGTAGAGCTCGTTCGCAAGTGCTCCAAGGTTAGTCTTTGGGCAAGCAACAAAAAGTATGAATATATCAACAAACTTCTTGGATTAGATGAATCTCTTCAAAGATTGATAAATATACTGAGAGTGCAACTAGCAAGGGATGCGAGAGAAAGCTTGGTTTCGGTAACTAGTATAGACACGGTGACCAAGCAAATTGAAGAGAGTGGTATGATACAACATGATCAAACAGAAAGTCAGCGTCCAGTAGTTGAACTTCCGTTGGCTACAGTTGGTTTGGAAGTATTGAGTGTGCAGGGAGCAGGGAAGATGACGAAAGCAAGGGAATTAGAGGAGTGGGCCAAGAAAATTGAAGGGAGTGGTGTTGTACAAAATCAAACTGAAATTCAAGGTTCTTCAAACATGGTTTCAATGGTATGTCTAAATTCTCTTCATTCTTTATTCTTTTAAGTTAAACGTGCATTTGGAAGCCTAGTTTTGAACACTATACGGATGCCGGATGTTCATGAACAGGAAGAGTCTGAAACCGAATTTGAGCCACAACAAGTCTTCTCCTCGAAATTTAGCAGACCTGATACTTCTCCAAGGTTCTCCAATTGGTTCAGTAGTAGAGCCAAAAAAAGAGGAAAAAGTGGGAGCGAATATCGGCAGAAACATGTGAAAGGTAGTGAAAATCCGACGAGTTATTATTACAAGTGCACATATTCGTTTTTTTGATACCAATAGTGGAGGAACCAAAACTTTTCCTGAAATTTTATCCACCACATGATGTGGCAACTCACAAGAAAGTATCTTAGGGACCGTTTGATAACTATTTCAGTTTCTAGTTTTGGATTTTATTGTGGTATATATATCGTTGTCTATTATGGGTCGTTGACAACGTCATGTACCTATAAAAGATACTCTTTATTAACATGGCATCAGAAATTTATGAATAATTTTTTCCTGGCAACAGAAATCTCTGCCATTCCTGATGTTAAACTATACACCTACAAAGAGTTGAGAATCGCAACTGAAGATTTTTGTCCAGAAAGTAAAATCGGGAAAGGCAGTTTTGGTTCTGTCTACAAGGTAAGTTCACATTTACATTTTTTAATGTATGCGTTTGTAAAACCATTGCTTCTGCATTTGGTAATTAATTGTCTACAAGGTTAGTGACACCTATTTCAATTGCTTCTGTGAATAATCATCAGGGACGCCTTAAAGATGGAACAATAGCTGCTGTAAAAGTTCTTTCAGCTGGAACGACAGCAGGGCGGAGGGAGTTTTTGAATGAGATTAGAGTGGTCTAAAAAATAATGCATAAAAATATAATGAGGCTGTATGGCTGTTTTTTTGAAGGAAACCGAAGAATTTTGGTCGATGAATACCTCGAGAATAATAGTCTTGCACAAACTCTTTTTGGTAAGTACATACCTTCCTTCTCGAGCTGAAATTCGTTTCTGGTCTTTACAAGAGAGTGAGTGATTACGCAAATGTGTTATTTCCATTTGATCTGAGTCAGTCCTTTTCTGAGCTTAATTTGTTCATTCCTGAGAATCGTCTTTAAATGAGCTGTTTTTGTTTCAGGTGAAGGTAAGAATCATGTCCAATTTAGTTGGCAAACGCGGCGTGAAATATGCATCGGGGTTGCATGTGGGCTTGCCTTCCTTCATGAGCGTACAAGTCCACCTAATATCCATAGAGGCATCAAAGCAAGCAATATTCTCCTCGATAAAGACCTAGTGCCTAAAATTTCAGATTTGTGTCTTGCGAAACTTTATCCAGCCAGCACGACGCATGCTAGGACCCATGTTGCAGGGGCAATGTAAGTTGTGATGTCTCTCTTTCTTTCTGGGGTCTTTAAAATTCAACAGTTCTCTCTCTTTGTTGATCTATCTTAATCCAAATATTTACTGCCTTGCAATTACATCTTTGTTTCTGGTATTAGAGGTTATATTGCACCGGAGTACGCAATACGGGGGCAGTTGACAAGGAAAGCAGATGTTTATAGCTTTGGGGTGCTCCTTCTGGAAATAGTCAGTGGCAGATGTAATACTAATCCACAACTTGACGGGCAGTACCTGCTTGAAAGGGTATGTATTCAGGTTGTGTCATATGTGATTTTGGTAGATGATTGTTTTCTTACTCCCTGTTTCTTTTGTTTCTTGATCGTTGAGTAAACTGTCGAGTCAAGGAGCAAAATCACTCTGCCTAATAGTATATTGGATCGTCTGTTTATAAAGAATTATGCACAGCAGATACCGAATCTATTACCTTCGGCATTGTTGTTGATGATGAGTGCATATTCTTGCATTGCAGACATGGCAACTCTACGAACAGAGGGCGCTTGTTGGGCTGGTAGACACATCAATGCGCGATGATTGTGACACCGAGGAGGCTTGTAGATTCTTACAGATTGGTCTCATCTGCACCCATGACACTCCGAAACTCAGGCCACACATGACAACTGTGATTAAGATGCTGACAGGAGAGGTGGATGTCAACGACTGTAAGATATCAAAGCCAAGCTTAATATCGGATTTCATGGATCTTGAAGTACGAGACCCTGCCAGTAGTGTTAGCATACACTCCTCAGCTCCCATGTCATCACTTCAAAGTTCAAGCAAGACAAGTCATTAGGCAGCTCAAGGAGTTGAAATGGATACACGGTTAACTGCAACTCTTGTAGCAAATCTGGTGATTAGTTAAAATTATTCAGACAATTATGGTTAATCACATTGTTTGTACTGTATCTGTAAGGAAAAGTGTAACTGATCATTTATGTAATCATGAGCCAGAGCGTCTAACGACTTTTATCACTCACTCACCTTTTTCTCGGCTTCCAAACACGTCTCATGTGTTTTTCGTTCTTGATTTTCTTGCCTCCTCCAGTTTTCTTCGCCTTGCGCCATGGCTACTACAAAGAATACAATGACTGATTTTCTATCTGCAACCAATGTTGATGATGAGACGCGGGATGGTGGCGGCTTGGCGTTTAATTATTATTATTCTTCGTGCCTGGAAAAAAAATATAAGAATTCATTTAGATAAATACAACAAAGTCTTTGAAAATCCTCCTCAGTTCTAATTTGACTACACCCCTAAGTTACGACTTTGAAATACATGAAGGACTATTTGTGATAAAAACTCATTCCTAATAGGATTTGGACCAAGGCTATATTGGAATTTCGGAATTTCAGTTCCTAGTAGGCTAGTAAAATTTGGTTTTGTTAATATATAGATTCGGAAATTCAGTTCCTAGTAGGCTAGTAGAATTTGGTTTTGTTACCTTTATAAACGCTTAACCTTTTTCTTTGGGTCAAATTACAAAGGCTTAACCTCAGGCTTGCTGTTTTTCATACTTCGCTTGATATCCATTAAAACTTTAGAGAGAGTTTTTGGTGGTCGACCCTCGTAGATAATGGCACTGGACGTAGTTCAAGCGGCTGCGATGGAAGTAGATGGGGTCACTGAATCGTTGCCTTGATTGCCAACATTAACGCTTGAGGTTTTATGAATTTTTTTTTTTTGCCCTTATTGGTCCGCATCGGTTTTCCACCTTGGACTATCCTTGAGGACGTCCCCAACATGGTGCAACTTAAAAGTTTGGTTTTTGAGCGTCGTTCCTATCTTGTAAATCACCATTAATTTGCAACCCTATGCAAGGAATAACCAAAGACCAATAGTTGCAAAATAAGATGTGTACATGAAAAACAAACTATGAAGGGAGACACTCATCACTACTTGGGTGCTCCTTCCACTAGCCATGTCAATTATGGCTCTCTCCAAGCTTTCCTTCCATAAAGTGCATAATTTATTGATCAAGTTTCATCGATTGTAAACACTACCAGTCTACCACCTTCCCTTTGGTTGGTGTTAGAGTTGGAATTGAACTTCTCAACGATTTTAGCCCCCAATTATTTTGATTTGTACCGACGACACCATTTTCGCTAGTACAAACTCATACTAAGCACAAAGCAACATCTTCATCATTTGACCAATTAGGTCCTCTAATATGATCTCTTGACATCTTGAAAAATTTGGAAATGAGAACAAATAGTTTTGGAAGTGGGTAGAAATAAAATAGAAGAATTGTACGAGAAAAATGAATTTTGTGTGGATATTTGAACAAATATATAGATATTTAATTTAATTATTTTAACCGTTGGATTTAATTTTGAGTCGTTATATATATTTTTTATTACCATTAAATCATTGGATTCAATGTATTTATAAATTTCAATTCAAATATAAATAAATTTGAATCCAGACCATTAAATCAACCTACGTTCCAATCATCATGAGCCCCTGATCGAAAAAGAGTCCTTGCGGGAGTATTGGGTGGCAACAAAGATTTTAGCATGGGCTAAAATTAAATTTTGAGCCCAAAAATTATTTTAAGTCCAACAAATGATGAAAGTTTTGAGACGGAATTTTAACCTAACTATTGAAGTTGTTCCAATTTTTGGTCACCTCCACACTTTTAATGCGTGCATTGCCATACTACTTCAATCAATGTTTTTGAGTTTTGACTCGAAATTCAACTTATAGAGACAACCACAAAAAGTCAAACTGGTAATAGAAGTTAACGCGTTAAATGTCTGTTGAGCGGCGTAAGGGAGGGACATTCCCAAGATTGGATTCCTGAGTTCGTCTCGCCGCTGTTCATTTCTGTAATCGGAGCTTCTCCGGGGAAAACAAGGAGGAGGCCTCAGCAGCCACCCACGCGGCGGCCACGCTGTTCGGATTTTGAGCAAAAAACTGGTCAGAAAAGTGAAAGCATCGATCAGGTTAGACTTCAGATTGAAAGACAAACAATTATACAAAGTTATGTGATTTTCTTGTGCTTGGTGGTGGTGTTGTAATCATGGCGCTGTCCTTAGTCGGAGGGGCGGCCATAGGAGCGCTGTTCGGAGCGTTGTATGATGTCGTTAAGATATCGATAGGCAAGACTGCTATGCAGTATAAACCCCTCCTCAGAGAACTTAAATTCACGTTAGACTCCCTAAGGCCGCGGATCATCCAACAGATAGGAGAACATAACGTGGAATTGGGTATTTCGAACGAAGATATAGTGAGCCTGCAAAGACAAATGGAGGAGGGTACAGAGCTCGTTAGGATGTTATCGAACCGTGGCACGTGGAGCTGCTACATCTTGTGCAGCTGCTGCAACTGCAATAAGCCGAGTTATGCGGAACAACTTGTTGAACTGGATAGGTCTCTTAGAATATTGTTGGAGATACTGAAGCTGCAGGAAGCGCGGGATGTGAAGGAGGTCTTGGTTTTGGCTAGGAAGATCAATGACAAACAAGATGAATTGGAAAGGAGACTGGCCGATTTGCTCAAAGTGCAGCAAGAATCGGGGGACGGGGGAGAGTCTTCGGGAAGTGGTGCAGAGACAACACCAAATGAACAAAATGGAGAGAATGGTGGACAACAAGTGGCACCGTCAGGTGGAGGAGTAGGGGCTGCTGCTCTAGGAGCGGCATTTGGGGTGTTGTTTGACACTGTTATGCAAGTGAAGGACAAGACTACCATGCTTAAACGCCCCCTCGGAGATCTCAAATCAACGCTAGATTCCGTAAAGCCGTTGATAGAAGAGGTGGCAGAATGTAGCAAGGTATTGAATCTCCCAAATGAGGAATTAGAAGATGTTAGAATACAAATGGAGAAGGGTGCAGAGCTTGTGAGCAATTGCTCAAAGATTCGTCACTGGACTACCTATAAAATGTATGAGTATACCAACAAACTTCTTGGATTGGACGAATCGCTTCAAAGATTGTTAACTGTGCTAAGATTGCAGTTAGCAAGGGATGTGAGGGAGACCCTGGTTTCCGTAAGCAATATAGAGGCGGTGATCAATCAAATTGAAGGGAGTGGTGTGGTTAAATTACAAAATGAGCAAAATGAAGCTAAAGGTTCATGTGAAGCGCCCGCAGCCATGGGTAAGAGTGCAGTTGGATTGAATGCACTAAGTGTGGAGGGAACAAGGGACGTGACTGAGACATTGGATCCGGAAGCGAATATAAAGGTAGGGTGGCAGAAAGTTGAAGAGAGTTGGGTGGCACGAAGTAAAACTGAACATCCATCACGTACAGTTGGACTGGATGCAATGAACATGCAGGTGGGAGCAAGGAGTATGGAGGAGACCTCTGTAAGTGATGTAGAGCCGGGGCTCAAGCGAATTCAGCGCAAAGAAGTATCCAAACTTGATGCGCCATTTAGGGTATTGGGGAAGGATGTTCTTAAGGATGAGGAAAATGAGGAACTTGATGAGCAAGTGGAAGATCATCATGACAGGAAGAAGAAAGGAGATGAGTCTGTGACCGGTGCAAGTGGAGATGGGATGGCGATTTGTAAAGCTGATGGGTGTGCAGCCGATCTGAGTGATGCAAAGGCGTATAATAGAAGGCATAGGGTGTGTGAACTTCATTCGAAGGCTCCACTTGTGATTGTGTCTGGTCTAAAGAGAAGGTTTTGCCATAATTGCAGCAGGTTTGGCCTCTCAACCTAGTTTTATAATTATCGCACTGCTAATTTGTTTGCTTCTATGATTTCAATCTGACTCCACTCAAAGTTGTTTGGGAGCATATGCTCCTATCAACTTTACCCGGGACACACAAAAGAAGTACTTTGATCCTATTAGACGGGGGAGGGTGAAGAAGCTAGGACAGAAGGGTAGAGTTCAAGAGAGCAAAATGCGTTTAGGAACGTGGAATATAGGAACCTTAACGGGAAAATCTATGGAAGTAGTGGAAGTTATGGTGAGGAGAAGGATAAATATTATGTGCCTACAAGAAACTAAGTGGGTCGGTAGTAAGGCAAAGGATCTAGAAAACTCAGGGTTTAAACTTTGGTATTCGGGCACACATAGAACGAGAAACGGTGTTGGCATCATCGTGGACAAGACCTTGGTACAAGATGTTGTAGATGTCAAGAGGGTAGGAGATAGAATCATGGCAATCAAGATTGTAATAGGACAAGAACTTATCAATGTGATTAGTGCGTACGCACCTCAAGTAGGGTTGGATACGAGGTCGAAGGAGAAATTTTGGGAAGATCTTGGAGACTTGGTGCAAGGAATTGCTCAGACGGAGAAGTTATTTATAGGAGGAGATTTAAATGGACACGTGGGCAGGGAGACAGGCAACTATGGAGGTTTTCATGGTGGCCATGGTTTTGGGGAGAGAAACGAGAATGGGGAAGCTATCTTGGATTTTGCAATGGCATTTGATCTCTTCTTAGCCAACACCTTCTTTAAGAAGAGAGAAGAACATGTGATCACCTACAAGAGTGGGTCGTCAAAAACACAAATAGATTTTCTTCTAATGAGGAAAGGGGATCGTATAACTTGTAAGGATTGCAAAGTTATACCAGGAGAGAGCGTGGCTAATCAACATCGCTTGTTGGTGATGGATGTACATATCAAAAGAGTGAGACAAAAGAACAAGACTTGGAAGTGCCCAAGGACTAGATGGTGGAATCTAAAAGAAGAAAAACAAGCCATTTTCAAAGAGAAAGTAATCACCAAGTGTGTGTGGGATAGAGAGGGGGAAGCTAGCCAAATGTGGGATTCCATGGCTAGTTGTATCCGAAAAGTAGCAAAAGAGGTATTAGGAGAGTCCAAGGGCTTTGCCCCACACCAAAAGGAATCTTGGTGGTGGAATGAGGAGGTACAAACAAAGGTGAAGGCTAAGAAGGAATGTTGTAAAGCCTTATATACAAGGATAGGACTGATGAAAATGGTGAAAGGTATAGAAAAGCGAAGCAAGAGGCGAAGAAAGCTGTGAGAGAAGCTAAGTTAGCGGCTTACGACGATATGTATAAACGACTAGATACCAAAGAAGGAGAGTTGGATATCTATAAACTAGCTAGAGCAAGGGAAAAGAAGACAAGGGACCTAAACCAAGTGAGGTGCATCAAGGATGAGGATGGAAAAGTTCTTGCTACAGAGAATGCGGTTAAAGACAGATGGAGAGGTTATTTTCATAATCTTTTCAATGAAGGACATGAAAGGAGTGCTTCTTTAGGGGAGTTGAGTAACTCAGAAGAGTGTAGAAACTACTCTTTTTATCGTCGAATCCGGAAGGAAGAAGTGGTTGTAGCTTTGAAGAAGATGAAGCAAAGAAAAGCAATAGGCCCAGACGAGATACCAATCGAAGTGTGGAAAGTTTTGGGAGAGACAGGTATAACATGGCTCACTGACCTTTTCAATAGGATTTTGAAAACGAAGAAGATGCCAAATGAGTGGCGAACAAGCACTTTAGTGCCTATCTACAAGAATAAGGGCGACGTACAAAATTGCATGAACTATAGGGGTATTAAGCTAATGAGTCATACAATGAAGCTTTGGGAGAGAGTCATTGAGCATAGATTGAGGCAAGAGACACGGGTTTCGGACAACCAATTCGGGTTCATACCAGGGCGCTCAACCATGGAGGCAATCTATCTCTTACGAAGATTGATGGAAAGATATAGAGATGGGAAAAAGGATTTACACATGGTCTTTATAGATTTGGAGAAAGCGTACGATAGGGTCCCAAGAGACATTCTTTGGAGGATTTTAGAGAAGAAAGGAGTACGAGTAGCATATATCCAAGCTATAAAGGATATGTATGAAGGAGCAAAGACTGCCGTAAGAACTCATGAAGGACAAACTGAAAGCTTTCCCATAACTGTAGGATTACATCAAGGCTCATCCTTAAGTCCTTACCTTTTTGCGTTGGTAATGGATGAGTTAACAGGACATATTCAAGATGATATTCCTTGGTGTATGCTTTTCGCAGACGATATAGTGTTGATAGATGAAACTCAGGAAGGGGTAAATGCAAAGCTTAACCTTTGGAAAGAAGTGTTGGAATCTAAAGGTCTTCGCCTAAGCCGATCAAAGACAGAATATATGGAGTGCAAGTTCAGTGCAAATGGAGGCCAAAACGAGTTAGGGTGTGAGGATCGGTGATCAAGAAATACCAAAGAGCGATCGTTTTCGTTACCTAGGATCTATCTTGCAAAAGAACGGAGAATTAGATGGAGATCTCAACCATAGAATACAAGCTGGATGGATGAAGTGGAAGAGTGCATCCGGCGTGTTGTGTGACCGCCGTATGCCACTGAAGCTCAAGGGAAAATTTTATAGGACGGCAATAAGGCCGGCGATGCTGTATGGCACAGAATGTTGGGCGGTGAAGCATCAACACGTACACAAAATGGGTGTAGCGGAGATGAGGATGCTGCTTCGTTGGATGTGTGGGCACACGAGAAAGGATAAGATTAGGAATGAGGATATCCGGGGTAAAGTAGGAGTAGCCGAAATTGAAGGAAAGATGAGAGAAAATCGGTTACGGTGGTTTGGACATGTGCAAAGAAGGCCTACTGACGCTCCGATTAGAAGATGCGACTATGGGACAGAGGTTCAGGGCCGAAGGGGTAGAGGAAGACCTAAGAAAACTTTGGAAGAGACTCTAAGAAAAGACTTAGAGTACTTGGATCTAACGAAGGACATGACACAGGACCGAGCACAATGGCGTTCTAAGATTCATGTAGCCGATCCCACTCAGTGACTTGGATTTTCCAAGTCTCCAACCGAGAAGTTTTCCTCACTCAGGAAATTAAGGGAACACTACCTCAACCTACATGCTCCACTCATAAAGCTCCAACAAAAGAAAATTCAAAGAACTTAGAGAAGAAGGCTTTGGTGTATTTAACACAATACGTTGAAATGAAGGAAAGCTTATTTATTGATATCCCCGATAAGCTACAAATATGTACATATACATGAGTCAAAATAAACAAACAAGAGAGAGCCTTCACAAAGGTTGCTTAGGAGAAGTCGCAGCAGTCGGTAGAGCCCCAGAAAGAGAAGGCACTGGAGGGGGATCATTCGGAGCCTCAGTACTGGACAGAACCCTAGAAGGAGGAGGCATCAGAGGTTGATCATTTGGAGCTTCATTACGCGGTACAGCCCCAGAAGACGAAGGCAATAAATGCCTTTGGAACAAACCCACAAATCTCTGATGATCAAGTAAAACCTGACCATCAGATTCCTTCATCTGGTCCAGCTTCCTCTTCATGTTTGTAGCATAGTCATGTGCGAGACGGTGCAACTGTTTATTCTCATGCTTGAGCCCTCTAATCTCCTGTTTGAGACTCATCACTTCAGCCGCCAATGATTCAACTTGGCGGGTTCGAGCAAATAGGCGTTGGGCCATATTAGACACAGAACCTGCACACTGAACACTGAGAGCCAGAGAATCCTTAACAGCTAACTCATCAGATCGTTTGGAAAGTAGTCTGTTATCTTTGGGAGTGAGAAGGTTCCTGGCCACCACCGCAGCGGTCATATCATTCTTCATAACGGAATCCCCAACGGTAAGAGGACCAGTAGGGGAGACGAAGGATGGGCGCCATATGTTGTCTGGAGAAGGCGGGGCTGCCTCTTCAACAAGGTTCAAGTCAAAACGACGGTCGGAGGGGCCAGACATTTTCAAAGGTGTTGAAGAGAGAAAGAGGTCGAACAAATCAAGATCTTAGAAGTGTAAGAATGGAGCTTCTACTGGTGGAGATTCAAGTGTGCTTTGGAACTTAATGCCAGCCCCTATAAAAATCTGCACTCGACGGAGCTTCAGAAATCGAAGAGGCGCCTGCTCAGAAATCGAAGAGGCGTTTGCTTTCTCAAAAGCTGGGCTGCTCAAAGACCACGAGGGTCGATCTCAGAAATCGAAGAGGCGTCTGCTTTCTCAAAAGTTGGGCTGCTCAAAGACCACGAAGGCCGATCTCAGAAATCGAAGAGGCGCTTGCTTTCTCAAAAGTTGGGCTGCTCAGAGACCACGAGGGCCGATCTCAGAAATCGAAGAGGCACCTACTTTTCCAGCCTTGGCAGCACCTGTCACACGCACACTCAGCTTTGCGGAAATTATGGGCATTCTGTCGAAGACTTCTGGTGAAGTAGAAAGCACATGAGAGTCTTACTGTTCAATCACCCACTTCCCACACGCAATAGTAGCTCATGTGTATCACAGATAACTTTGCCAAAGTTCTCTGCCAAAGTTGAGCACGTGAAGCTTGCAGCTTCCACTACATCGCTCTGACCAAGACGGGTAAAAGAATAGCAAAGAAACAGCACTAACAAAGTTTAGACACATAAATTTTGAAGGTCTAGCTACCCCATATTATTACCCACAAGGGTAAAGGAACAGTATCACTGCTGGATAATTGGAAAGTCCCTGTGTGTCAACCTCTGTGCTTCGTGGCAAGGTAGACTAGCAAACATGCCCAACCTTTACTCACATTCGAGAAAACACTCCCAACAAGATTGCTTGCTCCAAAATCGAAGAGGCACCGTCCTCCGAATCTCGAGAGCCAGACTCCCAACATGACTACTTTCTCAAAAATCGAAGGAGAGGGTAAAGGAACAGTACCATTGCTGGATAATTGGAAAGTCCCTGTGTGTCAACCTCTGTGCTTCGTGGCAAGGTAGACTAGCAAACATGCCCAACCTTTACTCACATTCGAGAGAAAACACTCCCAACAAGATTGCTTGCTCCAAAATCGAAGAGGCACCGCCCTCCGAATCTCGAGAGCCAGACTCCCAACATGATTACCTTCTCAAAAATCGAAGAGACACCGCTCTCCGAATCTCGAGAGCCAGACCCCCAGCAGGATTGCTTTCTCAAAAATCGAAGAGACATCGTTCTCCGAATCTCGAGAGCCAGATCCCTGATAGGATTGCTTGTTCGAAAACCGAAGAGGCAACACTTTCCCAACTACAAGAGCCGGATCTCCTTGGATAAAGCTGTCTGTAATCTTCACACGCAACATCAGCTTTCCACATACCACAGACCACTTTTTCAAAGTGCTCTGACAGGGTAAAGGAATAGCATTACTACTTGTTGTTAAGGAGACTCCTATATATGTCAACCTCCATCCCCAACGGACAGACAGACCTGCAAAAATGCTCAACCCTTCCTCATATATGAGAGGGCACTCTCAACGAAGCCTTTCGAAATATTCAGCTTTCTTTCTCCCCGATAATACCTCTGCAAACAAGTTATACTAGAGCAAGAATATCTCATATATCATCAGGGTTAAAAGCAAGAGTATCCCATATCATGCTTTTTCCCTGTCTTTTCCTTTGGCCTTGTTCTTACCTGCAAGACAAGGAGAAAGAGAGCAATCAGTCAGCACTTGGAATCAAGCTTCCAGCCAGGAACTGACTGCCTGGAACTTACTTACCTGGCATTGCTCTCGAGTACTCATCTTCAACATCTTATGCTTCCAGGGAAGATACCGCATCTGCCTGAGGAACAGATAGGGCAAGTGAGAAGGATACAAGGAAGCATGTGGAGACAAGCGTAACAGCACACGTGCCGATACATCCATTACTCTGTCAAAGCAAAAGTATCCCATATCAGTAGGGTCGAACGTACTCTAGATTTGATGGACTTGTTTTGACCCTCAAATTCTTCAGTCGGCCTTATACTCTGGAGGAAACCAGAAAAACCCTCCAGCTCAGTTCAAGAATAAGCCTGTGGAAAGTTACTTCTTCAAAAGCAAAAGTATCCCATATCATCTCTTCTCATTTTTCTTCTCTTTATCCTTCATGCTGCCTACAAGATAGGGGAGAATGTGAACAATCAGCTGGAGCTCTGATTGCTTACCTTGTCTGTCACCTCTTTCAGCAAATCCCCTAGCTCGGCAACTTGAGGGACTCCTACTACATGGTTTGTATCGCGCTTGACCAAGCCTGAAACTACAAATAAGCTTCAAGTGAAATTGATACATTACCTTGTGCATCTCCACCAGTTAAAGATACCACCCCTGGATGGAGGAAGAGTACTTCCAGAGAAGATGCCACATCTACCTGTGAGACAGATAAGGCAAGTCAAGACGATACCACATTCCGATACTTAGAAGTTTCGTGATTACGAGATCATTCTCCCACAATATTTCCTAATGTCATTTGTACTAAATCATTCACCTGTACTCACTAAAGGAAAGCTTGAACCTAGGTACTTGTGTAAACCCTTCACAATTAATGAGAACTCCTCTATTCCGTGGACGTAGCCAATCTGGGTGAACCACGTACATCTTGTGTTTGCTTTCCTATCTATATCCATTTATATACTTATCCACACTAATGATCGGAGCAATCTAGCGAAGATCACAAAAAGCGACCGTTTTCGCTACCTAGGATACATCGTGCACGAGAACGGAGAATTAGAGAGATCTCAACCATAGAATAGAAGTTGGATAGATGAAGTGTAAGAGTGCATCCGGCGGGTTGTGTAACCGTCGTAGGCCACTGAAGCTCAAGGGAAAATTTTATAGGACGGCAATAAGGCCAGCGATGGTGTATGGCACAGAATGTTGGGCGGTGAAGCATCAACACGTACACAAAATGGGTGTGGCGGAGACGAGGATGCTTCGTGGGATGTGTGGGCACACAAGAAATGATAAGATTGGAAATGAGGATATTCGAGGTAAAGTAGGAGTGGCCGAAATTGAAGGAAAGATGAGAGAAAATCGGTTCCGGTGATTTGGACATGTGCAAAGAAGGCCTACTGACGCTCCGGTTCGAAGATGTGATTACGGGACAGAAGTTCAGGACCAAAGGGGTAGAGGAAGACCTAGGAAAACTTTGGAAGAGACTCTAAGAAAAGACTTAGAGTACTTGGTTCTAACGGAGGACATGACACAAAACCGAGCGCAATGGTGTTCTAGGATTCATATAGCCGACCCCACTTAGTGGGAAAAGGCTTTGTTGTTGTTGTTGTTGTATGATTTCAATCTGGTTTGGTTTTCTAATTTCAGTCTTAGTAATTTAGTTAGTTGTCCTGAATCTAATTGTTGTGTTGTAGATTTCATGATCTATCAGAATTCGATGACACCAAACAAAGTTGTCGTAGGCATTTGCCCTACATTGAACGCGATGGTACAGGCACTCAGTTAAAGGACGTAAGTGGTGATATAGATACGGTGATCAGTCAAACTGAAAGGAGTGGTGCGGTACAATCACAAAACGACCAAAGTGAAATTAAAGGTTCATATGAAGTGGTGGAAGCCACACCACCAGCAGTTGGATTGAATGTACCGAGTGTGCAGGGAACAAGGGATTCAAGGGAAACGTTGCAGACCTCAGTGTGCAGGGAACAAGGGATTCATACAGAGCTAGGACTCAAGCAAATTCAGGGGAAAGATGTGTTTGATTCTGAACCTCCATACGCTGAATACAAGGAAACTGAATACGTACCTCCATCAGTTACAATTGACATGAATGTGCTTTTGAGAGGATTGAAGAGGTTTCTTCTTAATGAAGAGGTGTCAGCGGTTGTGCTAACGGGTCCTGGGGGAAGCGGGAAAACCACATTAGCAAAATTCTTCTGTGAAGATGAGGAAGTCAAAAATATATTCAAGAACAACGTCTTCTTTGTTCATGTTTCAGAAAATCCTAACTTGAGCCTTATGGTACAAACACTATATCAACAGATGGGTTTCCAGATACCTGCGTTGCAAAACGAATCAATTGCACTTCACTGGTTGCACCAATTTCTCATGGAAACAGCACTGCACCCATCAGTGTTGGTCTTGGATGATGTTTGGCCTGGATCAGAATCCCTTCTTGACAAGTTTGATGAATTCAAAACACCAAATTACAAGATTATGGTGACATCAAGGTTTGAATTTCCGGCATTTGGTTTTCCATATTATCTGAAACCACTGAATGCTGAAGATGAGATGACTCTTTCTCATCATTCCCGCGCACACAACATAGAATTACTGGATGATGAAGACCTGATATGTGTTTCTCCACCACCCATCACATTTGATGATGAAGACCCGATAACTCATTTTCCTGATTCCTCCGCATCCTACTTGGGAGACGGAAGCTCTCATGTTTCAACAGCTATAAGGCCAATGGATCAATTTCATGATTCCTCCGCATCAACCTTGGGAGATAAAAGCTCGTATGTTCCAAAAGATGCAGGGACAATGGTGAGTTCTTAGTCTGCAATGAACACCTACAAATTCTCATGCTTTCGTTTTTTTCGTTTGTGTAAACGCGTTCATACTCTTACCAACGAGGCTCAGGTGCTTATCCAACTTTAACATGCTCTCTTTGTTTCGATTTAGTTTGAGCCCGACAACCCCGTCAAGTCTAAGCAGACATATATGCAGCAGAAGTTGGAACTGAAGGTGAGTGCCAGTGACAAAGCAATGAAGAAAGTCATGAAAGCTGTCCACGCCATAAAGGGTATTCTAATCTTTCTTGCCTAGTTTTGTTAACAGCACTTTATATGAGACGAATACAAAGTATTATGTAACGAAACCGTTTCATTTTTTGGGTGATTTGGATGAGCAGGGGTTCATTCGACCAGTTGGGACGCGGAGAACCAGAGGCTAACAGTGATGGGGCAGTTGGATCCGGCGCTAATAGCTACTAGGTTGAGAAAGATTGCTTCGAAAACAGAGGTAATATCAGTTGGGCCAGCGAAGGAAGAGATCAAAGAAGACAAGAAAGATAAATTGACCGAGAGAAAAGGCGATAAGAAAGCTAGAAATCTCACTATGAAAGAGAAAATGGAAGACAAGAACCAAGAAAAGAAAGAGCGAAGTCTTACCGTGAAAGAGAAAATGGAGTTCGATAAAAGAGATGAGGAAGAGAGACTTCTAGATGAGAAAGAGAGAGTCATTACACCCAGGTGACACAGCCGTAAGAAATCTCTCTTCCGGCTCCTCCGGTGGCTGTCCTTGTATTTTGTTTGTAATCTGTAAAACGATAAAAGGGAATTAAAGAAGCAATCATCCAAGAACTCTGCTTCAGATGCCAACGATATCAAGGGTGAAGATCAGATAAACGTACATTTTTCGATCAATGCTGTAAATGTTTCAGATAGCAAAACAGAAAACAGGTGGTAATGTTGTACCGTGTTCCTGCTAGGGTGTATCATATCTGCATTTTTCTAAGACATTCATTTTATTCTTAATTATCTTTCAGGTTTTGGTACATCCATTTGCTTTAAGGTTTATATACGCCGCGATCATCTATACGGTGCTGTGAACTACCTTGTTTCTTGGAAATGAAAAATTCGAGAATCTGGCACATTGCCGATTGCATAAATCGCCCAAAACAACCTTACTCTAGCACTACAAACATATTCTCTAGCATTTCATCTTCGATTTGCCCGTCAGGGATGGGAGATGCGCGGCAACCATGTCAAGAAGAAAGCAGAGCTTGCCGAGAAACCAACCAGCCCAATGTTAAAGGATTAGTACTGGCTTCATCAGCTGACTTGAAATCGAAGCTTAGAGAATCAGGTAACTTTGATCCCCACCTCCAGGCGAAAGTACTGAAAGTGGTTGATGTTTCTTATGGAGGAGAGGATGGTTTCAATCAGGCTGTTAAGTTGTCGGCGGAGTTTCTGTCCAACGTGAAATTTATACAGGAGCACAACTTGCTAGGAAGACACCTTGAAGAGGTTAACCATGGGCGTAGATGACACGCTAAAGGCTTTGGAGATGGGAGCGATTAACACACTTATTGTGAGGGAAAATCTTGACAGCAATAGGTATGTGTTAAAAGAACTCGAAGGCCGATGAGATTGTTGTAAAACATTGCGACTTTCGATATCTTGGCAGCCAAGGAGATCTAGAGGTTCAGGAGAGGATCTCACTGCTGAAATGGTCTGTTGACGAGCACAAGCGTTTTGGTTGTGATCTTAAGTTTGTCACCAACAAATCACACGAGGGTCGCAGTTCTGTCAAGGTTTGGAGGCATTGGAGGGTTACCGAATGAGTATTTCTAGCCAGCTTACTGAATGAATTATTCACATCTTATTCAAATTAGTAATATGCCAGTTCCAGATACAATATTCACACAACAGACACAAGGAATCCACAACGAACAACAACAATTGAAATCTTCAATTGTTAAGAATTTGACAAGCTAAATACAAGCACGAGCATCCATACACTTACATTTGACATGCAGATGGATGAACTTGAAAGCCTTCACAGATGCTACCAGTTTTCCTTGACTATCTTCGATTTCTCGAGAATGAATTTCCCTTCCTTGTACTTCTGTGTTTGCTCATAGGCGCGTTCATACTTCCAACCCAGCACCTCATGGCAGTCGCAGCAGGAGACATCAGCGACCGTGTGCAGACCAGTCATGAGTTGTCTGTCTTCTTTTGGCCCGACTGTAATGTTCATTGCATGTGAAAACAGAAACGCTCGACCATTTCTACCCTATGATTTAATAAAATAGATAGTCGAATCATGTTTCTTGCAATCTACTCAACATACTCAAATCCTGAAGACTATCGTTTACACACACAATAACCATATGAACAATGCAGAAAATAGAAACTCTCAACCAAACACAAGACAACCACTCGGCTCCTGGCATAGATAACCAAGTACAAATTGAATCTTCATTTCATTTTCAACATGCAAAAAGGAAAAATCTTTATTCCTCATTTACTCCAAAATTCCAAATGTAGGGAACAGTAGACACCAATTCATCTCAAAATAAGAACAGAGATTCGTTAGTTAATTGAGTATGAACTGAATCTTCACTTCAAATTAGGAAAAAGCTAAAATTGTATTCCTCATTTACTCCAAATGGCAAATGTGATGAAAAGTAAACACCAATTCATGTCAAAACAAGAACGGATGATCGTTAGTTAATTGAGTATGAACTGAATCTTCATTTCAAATTAGGAAAAGTCTAAAATTGTATTCCTCATTTCCTCCAAATGTAGTGAAAAGTAAACACGAATTAATTTCATTGTAAAGACCGGATTTTTATTAGTTACCCAATAAGCATAATGAGAGGCAATCAGAATATCCACAACAACTTGATCAAAGTAAAGTTGTTCACCTGGAAGGCTTTCGAAATGACATCGTCGTGAAGGGCAACATGGTTTCGGCAATTGCAGCAGCTGTACAACCTCGGCCCAACCAATTCCGCCATCGATAATCGAGAAAACTACGAACAAGACCAGACCCCTTAAAGCCAAAATATACAAAATCAAGACCCTCCCCTTACAGAGCATCCAGCAATCGGCATAACTTCTTAGCAAAAAATCAAAATTACAAAAATTCAGGAGTAACAAAATGCTTGCCTTTTTAAACCAAAAGATATTGGTCTATATGATTTTGGATATCAACTAATCTTGTACGCAATTTCTGTTGACAGAACAAAACAGGACAGTGATTACGTGAAGAATCAAACAACTTAAGCCAATGATTAAGAGCAGTAATGGTGATCAGTTAAGCCAATAATTGCACAAAAACCCAACTTCTAAAACCACCACAAGATCAGAAACAAGGTAAAACTAAATCACAATAATTGGAAATGAATCGTGGCTTAAAAATAAAACCCAGAATTTAAAAAGTGAAAATTTTGAAACTTTTTCATTAATTATGAAATGGGCAGTGGAGTGATCACCTGAAAATGCACGCGATATTGAAGATGTGAAGATTAAACGGATGGATTAAGATTGATTAAGAGTTGTACCTAACCAGTGTGCCATGGTGCCTTTAGAGAGAGAGAGAGAGAGAGAGAGAGAGAGAGAGAGAGTTTAATCGTAGTAGCAGTAAAGGAGAGATGCGTCAGTGTTTGGGTGAGGAAGTAGGATTCTCTTTTTTCGTTTTTTATCTTCTCTAGGGGTGGGTTCAAAAAACCGAAAACCGAAAAAAATCGAAAATCAAACCGAATCGAAACCGAAAAAATCGAATCGAACGAAAAAACTGAACCGAATTAAAAAATCAAACCGAACCGAATTCTTTTGGTTCGGTTCGATTTTAGTGATCTAGAAACCGAACCTAACCGAATTAATTAAATTAATTTTTGTATTTAATTATTTGTTTTGGGTATTATTTTCTAAACCCAATTTGTAAGTTAAAATGTGCTAAACTCAATGTGTTGCCAAACTTTAAGCTCAAAATATTAAAAAAAAAGCCTATAAAAACTCTAAACCCTAACTTATTATTTCTCCTCCATATAAGGTTCCGGAACCCAACCTCCTCCTGAAGTACCTACATCCATCTCCATAGCACTGTCTACTTTTGCCCCAGCTTTCTTTTCCAAATCTACTCTCATATAACATGTAACAGAATCCATAAACATTTATTTTGGGTTGATTACTTGAGTAATTTGTGATGGAAAAGAATCCAACACACACTAAATAAATTCACCCACTCATTACTTTTACTAATCAAGTTGTCAACATACAGTTACAAGCAAACAACCTTGATCTTTGAACAACATCATACAATTTAACTTTTCTAAGTCATTTGTACGATTTTTGTGTTGTGAGGTTGTTAGTTTGGACTTTGGAAGACTTGATTGATGATTTTAGTTCAACTTTAAATGTTTATTGTCTTTGATTTTAGTTAGAATGTTTATGTTATGATTGTATTGGAGATGTTAAAATTTTAAATTTCAATGTTTTTCATTTTTTGAAAAAATAAAACAAAACAAAAAACCGAAACCGAACCGAAAAAAAAATGAACCAAACCGAACCAAACCGAAATTTCGGTTTGGTTTCGATTTTGGCAAAAAACCAAACCGATTTGAACCGAACCCACCCCTACTCTTCTCTTATTTGAATAATTACGATTAAGTCACATCAATATCTTATATTAATTTTATATAAAAAGATAAAGATAAAATGAGAATGTAAAAGAAGGAAAGAGAAGGAGAAAAAGAAGATGAAAGAGAATTCTACCCCTGTGTCTTATGATATGAGGTTATCTTAGGAATGATAGTGGGTAGAGAAATAGGGTTTAATTTTTTAACTTTTGGTGGTGGGTGGGGTTATAATGTGGGTGAAGAAATAAGACATTAGGATGGGTCTAGTAACCCATCACACAGAAAACACCAAACAGTGAAACCCTAAAGAAGCTACAATCTCTGTAGCTACTGCCTCCATGACATAGCTCTTGCTCCATGACATGATCAACACAATATGTCGCCCCCTTGACCACTTGCGAGTGTCCCATTCTTGAGTAAAAGTAAGGTTGCATCATCTTCCCAGGACCACCACAACAACGATCGCTGCCACATGACATAGGAAGTCCACAAGAAGAAAGATCCCACATGCAACATCACTAACAAAGGTGAACAGCAGGAAGGGCTAACAAGGGTTAACAAAGGTGATGGTGCGAACACCCAAGCCGAAACTCTAGACATCCTCCCTAAAATCCGTGACAAATTGCGAAAGGGGTGTGTAGAAGTGTGATTCCACACATCCCTTTTTACTTCTCTCACACTTTTTTAATTTTCGGTCGTCGGATCGGATGAATTGAAGAAGATTAACGGACATAAATTAACAAGGGGTGTGTGAGAAGTAAAAAGAGGTATGTGAATAGCACACCCCATTGCGAAAAACACATACGGTAATCGATCAAACTTGTAAATGGATGGGAAGATGATGGAACCCACTGATGAAGATGATGGGGAGAGATGAATTGTGGGAGATGGAAGAAACTGGTGATTTGGATTTGGGGTAAAGCGATTGAAATCAAAGGCAAGAAAAGCAGTAAAGTGATGATAGCTGCCACCGACCCTAGCTAAGACTACGGTCAGCGATGATAAGGAAAGACTAAAGACATGTCATTTCAATCATCAGCCACATGTCTTTTTACTTAATTCTAGTTAATTTTTACATTAAAAATTACTTTTACAATTTTGAAAAACAAAAATAACCAAGGTTAAGGGAAATGACACGTGACAGATGATTATGTGTATGATGAACATATACTATAGTTTATGTTTATGATCATAAGCAAAAATGCTCACTTAGTCATTAGAGATAGTTCGATCATTTAATCTCAATAAAAATAGTAGAATTATGAGGAATGAGTTCATTCACAGAATAGTGAGAAGGACTCTCACCGAAAGAGAGAGCAAGGACTTTCACCGACACTATTTATATAGTTTTGCATTCATTATCATGCCTGCATTTGGGATCCTTACATAAATTAAAGGCAGTGTCTCGTGCACATTATTATTTGTATAAAATAAATTTTTTACTACTTAATTGTTTATTTCATTAGAACGACAAACATTTTTTTATGAGACAATTTGTCACACGTTATTGTAGTACAATTTTTTTTAAATTTATGTACACCAAGAAGATGCTCTTAGCTCTGATGATTGCATCTCGAGTCCCCATAAATTAAAGGCTAGGTCTCTTGCATATTATCATAATTTCCTTATCTGTTTAGAGAGCAACGTGGCCTGATATTGGACAATATTATATGGGATATTACAAATACATGCAAGTTCCAACACCGGCAATAATGTCAATTTCGGCAATTGTATTATGACGCTAGGAAGACTAAAATTTTAAATTAAATTTATAAATCAAATGATGTGTACTTAATAAGATACAAGTACATTAACTGACATTTAATTAATAATTCAATCATCAACAACTATATCATTTGATTTTAAAATTTTGATTTCACTAACATTACCTATCGAAAACAACTACAACTTTTTAAACTTAAGAATACTTTTTTCAAGTCTTAAACTTAAAAACACAATACGCGAGTTTTTGAAGTTTTTTAACTCAACCAACCTCTGCCCCCTCTTTGATCCTCCTCTCTCCTTGCCCTCTCTCACTCTCCAATATTTGTCGCTCTCTCTCACTCTCTATCCTCCAATTTTACAGATATGTTGTCTCTCCTGTCGTTCTTCAATTTCTGCCTCTCCTCACCAGAATCACTAAATCAAGTTTAGCCTCTACGATCTCATTTGTCCAATAAACCTCTTCGACTCAGTCATCGACATTGGGTCGATTTTGAACCGCAGTGAGGGTTTTTTCTACACGCCAGCTGCCGTTGCCGTTATTGTGGAGCCAAAAATAATTCAAAAAATTATGAAGATGCCATTTGGATTTTTGGTTTAAAATGACAAAATTATCCTTAAGGCACACCATAATTCCCACGTGCATGCAACGAACATAACCACTCAATCAAGGAAGAGTCAAAGATGATCAATATGGTATTTATTCAAATCTCTCTCATCACTCCTCATCAATCCCTTGTTGATTTTAGGCCTTTTAGTCAAAATGATCACTAAGATTTGCATAACTCCTCACTTTGGTCCCTGATATTTGAAATCGATAAAATTGGTCCCTGAGTTTGTCCATGATCAATCATTTTGGTCATTCCATGAAAACCTCTATTAAATAAGAGTAAAATGACAAATACCCTCAATTTTTGTCAAATCATTTAAATCCTTATTTAACATAATTTTTACTAAAAGACCAAAATGATTGATAGTGGACAATCTCAAGAACCACTTCTATTGATTTCAAATCGTATGGATCAAAATGAGGAGTAATTGTCATGAACCATTTTGATTAAAAAACCTTGATTTTATTCAAAAGGCAACTCCAAAAACTTCCTTTTTAAATTAGGAATAATTGTCATGTTAATTGCAAGATAATATTTCACATAATATCTTACAATTATTCACCTATTTATACCATATATGCCTGATTTGTTAATTGCAAGATATTATTTCCCAAAACTTCCTATTTAAATTTCACTTTGTCATGAACAATTCTAATGGCCAATTTGTTAATTGCAAGCCATTCCTTTTATTTCACACCTACAGCCTTGTCTCTAACTGGGCCTCTCTACCCTTATCTCTATTTCTCTCCCTAGAGTAGTTGCAGAAGCGTAGAGATCTTGATGGTGGTTCGAATGAGGCTTATGTAAAGCCCTGTCCATGGCAGCTATTTAGCTTCCAAGTCTTATGTATCTGTTAGGCACCAGCCATTGCTATTGTTGCTTTCTTAACCCAAACCCAGATTGTGACCGAAATCTATATCAAAACTCATTCTCCAACCCAATTCTTTAATGGGTATTTACCATTCACCTTAAAATTATAATCTTTTTTGTGAATGATTGAAGAGATTGGGGTGAAAAATGAAAATTTGTAGCAAGAGAGACAGAGGTAGTTAGGGCTCTGACGTTTTGATTTTTAATTTGTTTTTTTTTTAATTATTTAACGTTTTAATTTGTTTTTTATGTATTTATTAAAAAAATAGAGCTTTTCTTTAATTATACTAGCAGAGAGCACACACTTTGTGTGTGAATAATTTTTCTTAATAAGTGCTTTTTAATATTACATAATTACTGTTTTGTCATCT